GGCTTGATTCCGTCCTCCCATCACTTCGTTCCCACGTTGGTGTGGCCGACGCTCGTTTTGACTGCGCATGGAGTGGTTAACGAGCGCTCAGGGTTTGAATGCCCGTTAGGAGCTGGAGGCGTCCGTTCGTGAGCACCACCCTCACTTGCGTGATGAGGATGTCGACCTTTTTGTGGACGGTCGTCTACTACGCATGGTTCGGGAGCGTGCGGCGGAGCAAGCATCTGCGAGCGGCCAGCAAGGAGGAACCGGTGAACGAGGAGCTGTGCACAAGGCTCCAAGTGCTGTGGGCATTGGTGGAGGAGCTCTTGCACCAACCATTGACGTAGGATTGATCGGGACAAGCTACGGTCAATTCAAGTTTGGAGTTGAACACATCTCCATGACGCCGCTGCTGGAGGGAAGGCACGACCTTACCGCGTGGGTCAGCGCCATTTGACCTCAGCTCGAGTGTGCTGATTTGTGGCAGTTTTGCAACGGGACAGCACCAAGCCCGGCCCCGAACAACCCCTTGCAACGAAGGGAGTACGCAAAGGGCCAAATGCTTGCACTCATGGTGCTGAACCGATGTGTTTCTCCACCCATCCGAATGTCCATCTCTGGTTTCTCTCAGCAAGAGAATGCCGGGCAGCTAGCATGGGCATATATCTTGTCTACTTATCAAGTTCGTGATGTCCTCCACGCTTCCCTACTTCAGACCCAGTTAGCCCAACTCAGAAAGGGAGATGATGAGACGGCGGAATCCTACTGCAATAGGACCCGTACCATCCGAGCGGAGGTGCTGACCATTGGACAGGAGGTCCACATGGCCACGTTTGTTGCCCACGTGCTGAAGGGCCTACCACCGGAGTACGGATTTCTTCGCCGCAAGCTCAAAATTTCCAGCCCTGACATGACGGTGGAACGCGTGTGCACCGAGGTGTTGATGGAGGAGCAGACTCTCTACATCTAACAGAGTTACAAGCATATCACCAGCGATGCATCTGCTTTCTCGGGCACTGTCAATACCATCGTGGCTACAACGGGGGTCAACGGGAAGGAAGGTAAAGGGGGACGGGAGCAGACGGACAAGAAGAAGGATGGCAAGCGGGAGAAGAAGCGAGCCCCCTTCAAGGGGCGCTGCTACAACTGCAACGAGGAGGGGTACATGGCTGCGAAGTGCCCCAACAAGAAGAAAGATACAACGCCCGCAGCAGCCGCGAACGTAGCTGAAGGAGACGAGAAGGGCGTGGCGCTCACTGTCGCGTGTTCGGCTGCAAAGTTGTTGGCCGACGACAAGGACTTGTGGTTCCTTGACTCAGGATGCTCCCAACATATGGTCGGCCGCAAGGAGTGGTTCACGGTGATCCGAGACCCATCTGCGACGAAATCGGTCAAAGGGTTTGATGGTTCTATGAAGAAAGTTGCCGGTGTTGGTGAGGTTTTGCTAGAGGGCACTAACGGCTTGCGTGTGACCCTACATGATGTCCTCTTTGTGCCAGGAATGAAGGCCAACTTGGTCTCCCCTGGGCAGCTCTTGGACAAGGGAGCAAAGCTGCAAACCAAGGAAGGTGTCACTCGCATCATCGCATCAGGAGGTCGAGTGGCTGCAACGGCACGATAATGCCATCACCTTCACTGCCTTGACCTGAAACCAGGGCCAGCAAGGAACGGTGCAAAAGCTGCTGCGGCATGCAACGGCACGGCGGCTGTAGCGGCATGCACCAATATGGCGGGTGGAGCGGCGAGCAACGGCACAGGGGCTGCAGTGGCATGCAACGGCACGGCGGCTGCAGCGGCAAGCAACGGCAGGGCGGCTGCGGCGGCATGCAACGGCAGGGCGGCTGCGGCGGCATGCGACGGCACAGTGGCTGCTGCAATATGCAACAATACGGCAGCTACAGCGGCATGCAATGGCACAGCGGCTGAGGTGGCATGCAACAGTATGCCTAAGGCATTTTCCGAGGTGGTGTCAAGCGCACCGGAAGAGAATGACGAAGCAGCCAGCCTCACAACATATGCGGTGGGGACCGAGGCGATGCTCAACCTGCGGCACACCCACCTTGAGAATGACCATGCTGGTGCGGTGCAGTGGACAGCCACAAACAGTGGCATGCTAGGCATGGACCTAGAGAAAGGAGGGGAGGACACGTCGAGCGCCTCCTCTCAAGAAGCCAAACTCACTCGTCAAACGCTTCCGCTACCTGACGAGCGAGAGAGGGAGGTTCTTGGGATGGTCCATGGCCCTGAGTAGAATCAGCCGCCATCACGTACCGTCATCATAATCCCAGTGCCGTCTGTGCAAGGGGGCGAACAACCGTTCGATCGTTCGGTTGACCCTTCGGGCAGCAACGCAACGATGGCTCCGCCAGCTCTCTGTCCATCCTTAGCTGCTGGCTTGGCACCTGTGGGACCAGAGGTTGGTCCCTCTGTGGATGAACGTCGTGCAGCTGATGAAGACAAGGAAGGAGAGGCAACGGAACTGAAATCGGCGGCAACCCATGGGAAAGACCCCATACCCACGGTTCCGCCCCTCTAGCCCACTCCCCCAATCCCATGTCATTCTAGCAGGTCCAACAAGTGCATGCTACCTGTTCGGCTTCCCGCATCCACCATGACGGCCTCGGATGCGGTTGATGGCAACAACATGTACGGCATTGCATTCCTTGCTGGAGGTGTTTATGGCACGGACATCTACTATGATGTGTGTTATAGTCACAATAGGCTCCAATGTGCCTAAAACGAAAGATAGAGTGCACTGCCGGATTTCTGCACAGCGGCTTCAAACGTTTATAGCGTTCTGGTCACAACTTCAAATGACCTGATTCAACTTGGATCTGATGCGTCTGAACGTCACCTACAATATGCAATTTAGATCGCACAATTTCACCAAGTATTGACGACACAGTTTTGGTTTGAACGAACGGCACTATGGCAGCCACTATAGTCTTAGAACACAAAATAGGAAGAGATATGAAGAGTTACGAGTTGGGAATGACTCCCAGCTCCTACAAACCCCAAGAGCCGAGGTACAGTGATGTGGAACAGTGCCACACTGTCCCCAACCACGAAGGGTCTCGAAACTACCCTTCACTAGGGCCTACACCAAGTGAAATGTTACACTACACAAAGTAATGTAACTATCTTCAATATCTTGAGGTGCACCCTTTTGGCGAGCTTCGAAATCACTTGAGGCTTGACACCAAGGCTCGGGCTCTTCATCACAAACTCATCCTTGAGTTCTTGATGGGTCTGCTGCACACACCTGCGACACACTGAACGTTCGACACAGGACAAAATAGAAACCGCGCACGACAAAATAAAAACCGCGCGCGAGACACAAACGACCGCGTAACACGCGTCTAGCGATAACTCGCTATTGACTCGACACACACACTCGACATCATGACTCAACATTCACACACAATTATAAGCATGAAATATATATTATCCCATGCCCTCATACCATTCCATACACACACACATGCACGCACACGGACAACAAGCCGAGTGCAAACCGTAGGGTTGCACCAACAATGTGGAGTACTTGGATGAGGCTGATGAGGAGGAAGGGGGATTGGGGAGCATCATCATCAACCTCGGAGTAACCTTGACCGGACCTGAAGGCAAGGTGGTGGACAAAGGTCTCCTCGTGTTGGAATACATGTCATCCACGGATGGTTACCTTGGTCTGCAGATTGTGTGCGACCACCCCAACAAGACACTCCTCTTGCACCAGAATGCATATGTGGCAAAGGTGCAACAGCGGTTCTTCAAAGGGGCGCCACCGAAGAAGCAGCCAATCACCCCTATCTCCTCTACCAGCTTTGTCATGGAGGATGCTGAGCTGTTTGCCGATTGCACCATGACCGACCGCCTTGTAGAAGGTGCACACCCCAGGACAGATGCGCATTGGCATGAGCTCTTCTACACACTCTCCTACTGGGCTGCCTCACCGGACATGGGGCTGCTGTTCAAGGGAGGACCAGAGAGTTTGACTCTTGTGGGGTATGCGGATGCGGATGATGTGGGCGACAAGGAGAACCGATTGTCCATGGGAGGCTACCTCTTCAAGCTTGGCGAAGCTGCCGTTTCATGGCAGGCCAAGAAGCTGCAGGGTGCGACCAAACTTTCCTCCACCGAGAGCGAGCTTGTGGCTGCGGTGGAAGCAGGAAAGGAGGGGCGCAAGCTAAGGTTCCTGGTGTGGGAGTTTCAACTACTCAAGAAGGGTGTCCCCACCACCCTGTACGTTGACAACATGTCGGCGGTGCAGCTCAGCCAGGCGGGCGGGCTGCAGGGGCGCATGAAGCATGTGGACCGTCGCCACATGTGGCTACAGGACATGGTGCGCATGAAGAAGTTGGAGGTACAGCACATCCCTACAACGGCGCAGCCCGCGGACCTCTTCACAACGCGGCTCGACAAGGCAGCCTTCAACCGATGCTGTGCAGCAGCCGGGCTGGTCAAGCGTGCTCGTGACAGCAAGGGGGCGTGTTAGAAGGAAATGCTGCCATGAGCAACAAAATGTCTGCGCTGGGATTTGAACTCGTGACCTTCAAATCTGTCCTGAAAGTGTCTCAGGACAGATTCAAGACAGTTTCTGCTAAGGCGCTGGTTATGGTGCACACGAGTTTCGAAGTGGAGACCTTTCGATTCAGGTGTCCCAAAAGTGTCTTGTCACGACAGATTGGGGACTGTTTGGAGACAGATTGGGGACAGTTTGGTGAAATCGATCTCGGGTCGCGTTCGGTCTGAAACTCGGCAACGAAGTGTCGAAGTCAACGGAATTCGCACGGGAGTTACAGGCGGTGGTCGACGAAATTCTTGTCGCGGAAATTCTCGTCTACGGAATTCAAATCAACAAAATTCGCTCGGCAAAATTCAAGGCTCCGAATTTCGCGTTGACGAAATTCAACGTGCGACCCAGGTCGACACTTTCTTGTGTGCTTTTATTTTGTATTGCGTCCTAGTATAAAACCAGAGAGCACAAACCAGAAATCATCCAAGTCATTACCACTACTATGTTTGTGTGTAACTCTGGCTATAGTGGACCGTTTCCTGCAATCTTTGGTGCATTGGAATCGTGCTTTCAAGCTCTATCAAGCTGCTATAGTAGTGGAATTTTACAGCTACGAGTCCTGGAGGTACTACTGGAGGTGCTGGAGGTGTTGCTGGTGGTGGAGGTACTAGAGGTGCTGCTAGTGCTGGAGGTACTGGAGCTGCTAGTCCTGGAGGTACTGGAGGTGCTGGAGGTGCTGGACGTGCTGGAGGTACTGGAGCTGCTGCTGGTGCTGGAGGTACTGGAGCTGCTCGTGCTGGAGGTACTGGAGCTGCTCGTGCTGGAGGTACTGGAGCTGCTGCTGGTGCTGGAGGTACTGGGGCTGCTAGTGCTGGAGGTGCTGCTGGTGCTAGAGATGCTGGAGATGCTAGAGCTGCTGGTGCTGGAGGTGCTGGAGCTGCTGGTGTTGAAGGTTCTGGAGGTGCTGGTGTTGGAGGTGCTGGAGCTGATGTTGCTGGAGGTGCTGGAGCTGCTGGTGCTGGAGGTGCTAAACCTGCTAATACACTTCACCACCTTCTCGGTCTTCCGCCAGCTCGGACGGAGTTCCCAGTCGCTTGTACTACTCCTCCATTACTGTTCCAACAGCTACTGCCTCACTCCCCTCTGTCTGCTCCTGCTCCTTACAGTGCTGTGACAGAGTCCCTGACTGAGCGTCGAGAGCCCGAGGCTCGTGCTTCCACTCCTGAGCATCAAGAGCATAAGACTAGAGCGTCCCTTCCTGCTCGTGTTCGTCGTGTGCGTCGTCCTCGTGCTCCGGCTGTCCCAGGCACTCACGATATGACACTCCGTCCTTCCTCTGTTCTACAACATGTTGTCCTACCGTCACCTCATGCGTCTTCTTCCGTTTGACCTTGCTCGTGCTTCCAGTATGACTATCACTCGCTTGCTTGCTACAGTTATGACGGACCCTACGTTCTCGTGTCCTACTGCGCCTCCCTTAGTCTCTGAGCTAGTTGACTTTGCTGCTGCGCATCGCCTAGACTACCTTGCGAGTCTTGTTACTTACCCTGACCCTGTCTGTCCTTCGTCCGTTGGAGGTGAGGTTGCCCTTGGCTGTGACGTTCTTGAGGATAGGCAGGAGGAGCTTGAGTGTCTTGCCGCCGTTGCACCTCATCTTGCGACCATGCTACTTGCCCCTAACGGAGACCAGGACGCACTTGACATCCCCACCCCGCGCTTTTACAGAGAGGCGATATTGGGTGAGTACTCTCAATGGCAGATAGCCATGGATACAGAGATGGCTTCCTAAAAGTCCACAAGCATCTACGTCGACGAGTTTCTCCCACCTGGGACGACCATCGTCAGTGGCATGTGGATCTTCAGGGTGAAGCGGCCGCCGGGTTCTCCACCAGTCTTCAAGGCACGGTACATTGCTCGAGGCTTCAGTCAGCGTGAGGGGGTTGACTTCTTTGAGACCTTCTCTCCCACCCCGAAGATGACCACTCTTCGGGTGTTGCTACACGTTGCTGCTTAGCATGACTACGAGCTTCACTCCCTCGACTTCTCGACAACTTTCTTGCAGGGTAGCCTTCACGAGGACATCAGGCTGCGGCGGACACCTGGCTTCACTGGGTCGTTTCCTGAGGGTACCCAGTGGGGTATACGGCGGCCAATGTAAGGCCTCCATGAGGCACCTCGGGAGTGGCATGACACACTGAGGATGACACTTGCAGGTCTTGGGTTTGCTCCTTCGACTGCTGACCCGTCGCTGTTTCTCTGCACCGACACTACTCTGCCACCGCTCTACGTTCTCATGTACGTCGACGACACAATCTTTGCTACTGCCGACACAGAGGCGCTGGCCTTAGTGAAGGCGGAGCTGCAGGAGAGACACACATGCACTGACCTAGGTGAGTTGCGGAGCTATCTTGACTTGCAGATCAAGGACAGAGCACGGCGCACCATCACCCTAACTCAGTCACACATGGTGCATCATGTCCTCCAGCGCTTCCGGTTCCAGTACTCCTCGCCATAGCCCACTCCTCTATCTACCGGTCACTCGCTCTCAGCTCCACCTTCGAACGAGTCCGTAGAGCCGAGTGGTCCGTACCTAGAGCTTGTGGGTTGCCTCATGTACCTGATGACGTGCACATGACCTGACCTCACGTACCCTCTCAGCCTCCTGGCACGCTATGCTGCACGTTGTAGAAAACGAAAGGTGCACTTTGATGATGCGAAGAGGGTACTGCGTTACTTGTGCAGCACATCGGGCATGGGGCTCGTGCTTGGAGGACGGGGTTCAATGGCCCTTACAGGACACTCCGACGCTTCTTGGGCCGATGACCAGGCGACTCAGCGTTCGTTACAGGGTTACACCTCCAGTCTTGGCTCTGAATCTGTCTCGTAAAGATCCATTCGGTCTTCTTCTGTGCTTAGCTCCAGCTGTGAGGCTGAGATCTACGCATGGGCCATGACTGCACAGGAGCTACGCTGGCTGACTTACCTGCTGGCCGACTTGGGGGAGCGGCCTCATTCTCCTCCAGTTCTGTACGTCGACAACAAGGCAATGCTTGCCTTGTGTCGCGAGCAGAGACTGGAGCACAGAATGAAGCACATTGCTCTTCGCTACTTGCGCGTGAGCTGCAGCAGCGTGGTCAGCTGCGACTTGCTTACGTGGCCTCCAGTGTGTCCGTAGCTCAGGTGTTTCATGGTTCTTTCTTTCGTGGCGGTCTACCCGCTCGTCTTCTATTCTCAGCTCTAGCAGTAAGGCTGAGATCTACGCAGGGGCCATGGCTGCACAGGAGTTACGCAGGCTCACCTACCTGCTGACCGACTTGGGAGAGCTGCCTCGTTCTCCTCCAGTGCTGTACGTCGACACCAAGGCCATGATTGCCTTGTGTCAGGAGCACTACTTCAGCACAGAACGAAGCACATTGCTCTGCGTTACTTCCTTGCTCGAGAGTTGCAGCAGCGCGGTCAGCTTCGTCTTGCTTACGTGGCCACTCGGGCCAACAATGCTGATGTCTTCACCAAGGCACTTCACCCTTGTGATCATCAGCATTTCTGTACTGTTCTAGGTCTTGTGCCCACAGGGCCTCACTTGCTTACTTCTTGACTTCGCTTGTATTGTGATCTTTGTACATATACCTGCATGCTTACACTTGTTAGGTTGTGATCACTGTATTGTTTGTTCGCCTTCATATAACTCTGCATGTGAACTGGCCCTGTGGCCATTTGCTTGTGCTCAGAATGCGTGGTGACTTCGTGATCCACCTTGAGCTTGCTTTGCTTCTCTTGACTGCCCTTGTGACCTCTTGTTCTCCCCTAATTTGCCTATGGGGGTGTGTCAAACTTGTATGCTATAGTCTGTGTAGGCTGTAGTGGGGTAGCTCATATGGGGTACAACACTTTAGAGTTTCCTACTCGTAATCCTCATGCTGCTCAATGCAATTTTTCGTCGTTCTATTTTCACAGATACAACTGTTGGGCGAGTCCCCCTTGGTTTGATCGCAGCTCATCTAAGAAAGTTCAGGCTGGTAAGTAACAGTTCAATGCGGTGCACAGAACAAACTGCTCTACATTGCTCATCATCATCCCCAATTCGGCTATTCGTGACTGCCAGCCATGCGTGCCGTAGCAGCGTCGCTTCGCGCCCACATTTCATCTCTCGCCGCGCTGCCGCGCAAATCTTTGCTCCGACCGCTCAAGCCGCTCCTAACGTCGTCTCTCGTCGGGATGCTCGTGGCGCCACCCTCAGCCTCGTCGCACCCAGCCGTAGTCGCCATGGCGGGCGAGCCGCCATCCCATAAAAACGAGCTTCGAAAACTTACGGCAAAGTAAGTTGGGAGGAGCTCTGTGGTTGTCTTGAAGCGACCTACCTTGGAGTTGCTGGCAAACCTGCACTGAAGCTGCTTTTAGACTCGAAATACTCTGGGGAATATTGGCGATGAATCTGTGCCGCACATCTCAAGCATGTCAAACCTACTTCAGCGTAACTTTCAATGTGCTTGTGCTTGGACAGGGATCGGAAATCGAATCTGCGTCGCACATCCCATCACTCTCGAAGCTACTTCAGCGTACCTATGAATATGATTTCAACCCTCGAAAACACGTGTCATGCGCTTATTTCCTCGCACAAAATGTCAAAAGCCAATCAAAATTGCCGAGACCAGTCAATCTTATTGGTCGATTTGGCAAGACGTCATCAAAACGTGCGGACGAAACAAAATATATTTGACTGGTTCACGAATATCGGGAACTGCATGCGAAACGATAAACGTTACTTGTTACTCGGTTATTTATTTGATTGTTTTAGTGCTAGCTACTCATTTGTAGATATCACTACATGAGCATAATAGGGTAACAGGATTCTGGTTACTAGTACACTTTGTACCCTACCAACATCAGAATTTGACCTGTAAAACCTTTTTAGCATAGCCAATTATATTCATTTAGGTACCCATGATTTGCATTTTACATGAACACATCAAATCATAAGTAGATGTGCAAGCATTATTTACATCAAATTGCATTAGACATAGATTACTGCATTGAAACAGTAAACAACAATACGACAGGAATTGCCAACTAAATAAATAAAGAATGGAGTAAAATAGAATGGAGAAAAACCGTCACGGATCAAGTATTTCTCGCCTCGTCAGCTGTCAGAATCAGAAACGAGAATGAATGACTAGAATGAGAGTAGGGTACAAATAGATCAAACCTAACCCTAGAAATGTGTACCCACTATAGGCTAACCCACTGTAGCCTAAACAAGCACAACATACAATGTTTGACACACCCCCATAGGCAAAGTGGGGGAGAACAAGGGGTCACAAGACCAGTCAAAGCAAAGCAAAGCAAAGCTCAGGGTGGATCTCAAGGATACCACACAAGTTGCGAGCACAAGCAAACGGTCACAAGACCAGTTCACATGCAGATTTATAAAAGAACAAGAGATACAGTGATCACAACCTAGCAAGAGTAAGCATGCAGGTATATATATATAGAGATCACTATACAAGCAAAGTCAAGAAGTGAGCAAATGAGGGACAGTAGGCACGAGGCCTAGAACAGTACAGAAGCGCGGATGGTCACAAGGCTGAAGCGCCTTGGTGAACACGTCAGCAGTGTTGGCCTGAGTGGCCACGTAACGAAGACAAAGCTGACCTCGCTGCTGCAGCTCTCGAGCAAGAAAGTAGCGCAGAGCAATGTGCTTCGTCCTGTGCTCCAGTCTGTGCTCCCCACACAAGGCAATGGTGGCCTTGTTGTCGACGTACAGCACTGGAGGAGAACGAGGCTGCTCTCCAAGGTCAATCAGCAGGTAGGTGAGCCAGCGAAGCTCCTGGGCAGCCATGGCCGTGGCGTAAATCTCAGCCTCACAACTGGAGCTGAGAACAGAAGAAGAGCGAGTAGAGCGCCAAGAGACAGAGCCAGAGCCAAGGCTGAAGGTGTAACCCTGGGACGACCGCTGAGTAGCCTGGTCGTCTGCCCAAGAAGCATCTGAGTGCCCAGTGAGAACAGGCCGGTCTCGCCCTCCAAGCACTAGCCCCATGCCCGACGTACTGCACAAGTAGCGCAACACCCTCTTAGTTGCATCCATGTGCTCCTTCCGGTGACGGCCGGGAGCGACATAGCGTGCTAAGATGCTGAGAGGGTATGCAAGGTCAGGTCGAGTGCAGGTCATCAGGTACATGAGGCAGCCCA